TTGCTTCTGGCTAGATTTTTCCCAGCAATCAGGGCTCAGCTGATCTCTTTGGAATGACAAGGATCTCGCAGCGACTGTCCTAGCAGCTCTGTCTGGCAGCCAGCCAGCCCTTTCCTCCAGCCAACTTGCAAGCACACTCGAAAGGAAAGGATACCAATCAACGGGATAATTTAGTGTGTGTCATCCTTCAAGCCTCTGCGGCTGTTTCATCAGCCCAGCCCCTCAAGGAAATCCAGGTTGCTTTTGAGTGTCCTATGAAAGCAGTGTCCTATCTCCGTGATTGGAGAAAGCAGCGGCCTTCAAACTTGGCCCTTTGATGACATGTGGACTTCAACTCCCAGAATTCCTCAACCAGGCACGCTGGCTGAGGAAGGTTGGGAGTTGAAGTCCACAAGCAGGGGTCTTCCAACCTGGCCCTTTGATGACGTGTGGACTTCAACTCCCAGAATTCCCCAGCCACCGTGCCTGGCTGCGGAATTCTGGGAGTTGAAGTCCACACGTCATCAAAGGGGCAAACACATGATCCCAGGACAGTGCAACCGTCACAAGTACATGCCAGTTGCCGAGCATCCGAATTTTGGTCACGTGTCCATGGAGGATGGTGCAACGGTCGTAGGGATGAAAAACGGTCCCAAAGTCGCTTCCCCCCCCCCCAGTGCTGACGTAACTTCGAACAGGCACTGAATAAACGGAGGTTAAGTCGGGTGCACAGGAATTAGACTGAATGTCTGTCTCTAAATAACACTGAATTTTCCTGCCATTTTGAGTGTGAAAATCAGCCCGCGTACATCTCCCACCTGCAGGACAAGACGCCACTATAAATTGGAGGTCAGAAAACATCAAGTAGCTTGGTGGGTTTTTTTTTTCCTTCCCCTCTCCCCCAACAGAACGAATTCCATGCCCAGCCTATAATGGCAGAACAGATGTCCCACAATGAAGTATGTGTCGTTCACACTTAACGACAGTAGAATAAGAAATTCCAAACGTTGATTAGAGTGACAGCTGAACACAGCGTGTCCTGGGGCACGCAACTAAATATGGGGAATGGGGGGGGGGCTGTGTCTGCAAGTGCACAGCTTAAATGGCACATGTCCATTATCTGTTTACTGACAACCATAGCAATCCGGTCCATGCAAAATGCGGAGGGTAATGAAGAACAGCTGGGGAACTTACAACACGCAGCAAAAAAAGCAGATGTGCGTGATATACTTGTTTATCCACTTGGGTCGAAGTGGAGGAGAAAGGAGGGACTTGTGTGGTGGAGACATTTTCTTCCAGGATCTCAAAACGTGAAACTAAAAGCACCCCACGGAAGTGATTTATGGAGCCACTTGGGGAGGGAGGGTGTGTGTGTGTGTGTAGCGTGGAGGTTTCATAACTGGGTATTATAACACCCGTAGATAATCTAAAATGTCGCAAGCACATGGCTGGAGAACGGGAGAACAGAATACACAAAGCAACACCCAACATTTCTGGAATTTTCGTCCTAAATAAGACTGCCTTATTTCTCCCTTAAGTGCAAGGGGGGAGAAAAAAAATCCTTCATTTGAAACAGCTTGCATCTCTTCAGTTCTGCATTCTTCCAATTCCGTTAATGTGGTTTTTTTTTTCCCCTCTCCACCTTCCTTTTATACGGTTATTATTAAATAACGGTTTTCTGCTTAATTATATTTTAACAGCTGTCGTGAGCCACCTGGTGGCTTTCTAGGTTGAAAGATAAGTTAATTATTTTAAATAGATGTATGACAGACATCCGCTGGGAATGTTTGCTGGTTCCAAATTGCATTCGCATACACCCAGGAAGATAATATATTTATTATTATTGGTGGTTCCCCCCCCCCCAGTCAGCCAGATGTTTTTAGACTTGCATTTGGCATTATTATCCACCTATTGAGTGCTTCCCAAGGACCTGGGATAGGCAGAAGTTGTTGTTTGATGGGGTTAAAGAAATCGTCACAGGCTATACGCTGTTCCAAGTAAAGCTGCGTTTTGCAATTGACCGATGGTGTTTTTTTTTTGTCAATGCCGATGGTGTGTGTTCAAGTGGTGCTCCAGATTATTATTACTTAGTAACTATGCTGGACCGAATAATTATTGAACATAAGACCGCCTTATTGAGCACATAAGATGCATTGCAGTATAGAAGACATAAGCTTTATACAAAGCAAATTTAGATCTAGCAAGGGAGCATTTTTTAATTAAGTTCAGAGGATTTCAATATGTGCTGCGCCACAAGTGCAGCACCTTTGATAAATCATTCCTGTGCACGCAGTAACAGCTTCCCCTGGTCTACCTAGTCTAGGGAAGGGGTAGGCAACCTTGGCTCTTTGATGACTCGTGGACTTCAACTCCCAGAATTCCTGAGCCAGCGTGGCTCAGCTTGGAAACCTCTCCCTTTCCCCTCAGCGTGGCTGGCTCAGGAATTCTGGGAGTTGAAGTCCACAAGTCATAAAAGAACCAAGGTTGCCTACCCCTGATCTAGGGGCTCCCTTTCAGCTGCCCACATTCTGTTGTATACAGGTAGTCCTCAACTTACAACCATTTGTTTAGTGACCGTTCAAAGTTGCAATGGCACTGAAAAGAGTGACTTATAACTGGTCCTTACACTTATGACCACCGCAGCATAGCCACATGATCCAAATTTGGGCACGTGGCAACCAGCACGTAGCGATGATGCTGGGATCGTGTGACGAGCATTTGCAATCTTCCCAGTTGGCATCCAATGAGCAAAGTCAACGGGGGAAGTCGGGTTCACTTAATGACAGAATGGTTCAGCTAACCACTCTGGTGCTTCACTTAACAACCTCGGCAAAAAGGTTGCCAAATTGGGCGTGACTCACTTAACCACCGTCCCGCTTGGCCATGGAAAATCCTGGTCCCGATTGTGAGCCTACACACCTCCAAGCAGATGTGCAAGAAAGCTTCTGCGTATTTGTGTAACTTACTCCGCTGTTCTTCTTGCAGCGTGAACAGAGTCAGGCTCAAGGAATGCATGCAACACGCCCCCCCCCCCAAATTTGCAGGAAAGCAGAGGTTATTTAACTACCAAAAAAGACCCACATTGTCCTTTTTATTGGCAAACCCTCCTGTGGCCCAAAATAGTTATTGCAATTCTATAAAAGCACTCACGTGTGCTTCCTAACTAGCATGGGTTCCTGTGCATATACATAAAGCAGAAATATAACTTTTAGCCCCGGGCTTGAATGCAGCCTTCCAAATTAGCCCCTTTCAAAGCTACCAATTAAATGAAAATGTTAATGTGGGGGAAAGGAAACAAGATTAAAACATCAGGAGTATTTAAATTAAATCAGATTTTTTTGGGCCTGATTTGTTTTTTTTTTGTTTTTTTTTAAGTGTGGCTCCCACATTCAAAGTTTAAGTGCTACCCTAAGTCTGCAAATTCTTCCATTAGGTAATACAAGTATAGTAAAGGTGTTGAAACCAGGCAAATAGAATAGAAGGTGATCACGTGACCCCAGGACACTAAAAACCGTCATAAATATTGGCCAGTTGCCAAGCAGCTGAATTTTGATCACGTGACCACGGAGATGACGCAACGGTCGTAAAGTGTGAAAACGGTCGTAAGTCAGTTTTTCCCCAGTGCCGTTGTAACTTCAAACGGTCACTAAATGAACCGTTGTTAGCCGAGGACTCCCTGTATGATGGGGCTCTAGATCAAAGATAAAGGGATTCCCTACACATCTTTTTATCTTATTTCTCGGTTTCAAGGAGAATAATATAATCACACACCTTTCGTGGGTGGACTTTTGAACGTTAATATTAAAATTTACACCCTGCTGTAAATGCACCAATTTTAAATGTCGTGTTGTTTTCAGGAACCCACTCACCCTTCCAAAATAATGCAATATAGAGCAGGGAGGCATATTATCATCAAGAGGTATTGATAAAAGATGTTGTGCCAATTGCACAGGCTCGCCCCTCACACTTTATTTGCTGCACAGTAATGACAGCTTTGTGATGAACAAGCAAATTATCCTTCAACCTTTCTTTATAAGTCACCGAGTGGTTATTAAGGAACGCCTGGCTGAGTGGGGGATGTTTAAAGAGGGTGCATCAGGATTTCCTCAAGCTGCCTTTAATGTTTAATAATAATTCTGAAAAGCTTATTTCTGAGAAGGTTCTCTGAAAGCAGAACTTGGAAAGGACCCAGCTGATTATTGAGAGAAAAGATACTTGTCAGCACAGATAAGGGGGGCTCTGCTAAACTGATCTGAAAATGAAATACAGATGGTTCATAATAATAATAATAATAATAATAATAATAA